GTATTTTTGGCTATTGCTACAAATATACCCCAGCGACTTAAGACTGCTTTTGTGCTCCAGGGTCACACACACAAACACACACATAGATAGATAGATATTATAGATGCAAATGGAATTTATAGATATCCATTGTGTAGTCAGCGACTAAGAGGAAAGGAATCATTTTGATTCTAGACCATATGGTTGTGTAGATATGAGCACAAATGTAAAAGTGCCTGTTTTAGAGTCACCCAGAGTGTGTTTGTGAGTAGTGGGTGGGATTTTGGATCCTCCCGCCAAGTTTGAGATCTATTTAAAGTTTTTGATTCAAACACATTTGGAGAATTTTTAAAAATACAAACCAATAGTAAAATTCTAGCTTAAACAACTGGGTTCCAGCATCTTCAGTGCTTGGACCCCTAAAAATCAGAGCCAAGGGGTCTAGGCCTTCAGCATGAGGTAAAGATAGGCATTCATTGATAATTATCTGAAGTTTAATTAACATTATATTATTAACAAAAAGATTACAATATATACAGTATATATATATATGTTCTGTCTTACCTCCCTGTGGGAAGAATTGAGAGTAAATGATCTTAAACACATCTTCAGTCACCACTCCACTGGGACATTCCTGAAATGCACAACAGATCTTAAATCAAACACTATAAAACACCATTGTGGCCAAAAACCTTCAACGTAATACAATATGCAATTAATTATGTCTTTCAGAAAAAGAAAGAAAGAAATGTAAATTATAATTATGAATTAGAGAAATAAAGTGACAATTATTTGTGGCACACAAAGGGTGATATTCCCAGCTAATGTACTGACTTTCCTCATTTAATCTATGTAAGTAGAGCAACATTTACATTTTTGAAGGCCCTGTAGAGGAACTGCAGCTCTTTCTTGCTGAATTCAGTCTCTTCCTGTAGTATGTCCAGATCATCAGGCCGGTGACAAACAAAGGATATTTCAAACTCATCCTCAGTACTTTCTGTAAGAGAAACAACATCTCATCAAAAATCGATAACTGAATGTTACATTTCTCATCTGTTTTAGAGAAAGTGTTATGGAGAAAGCTATTTTGTCACTGATGGTGAAATAATTGGTTAATTTAAGGTGAAGTTTTTTACAGTATGGAGCGTAACACGTCAGTGACGAATCAAAGTTACTTTCAAAATATGCAATAAATTAATGTAGAAAAATATAAGTACAATAATAGACTCTGAATTTCAAAAACTCAAAATAACACAGCTCTGCTTCCACTCTTGAGAGAAAATGTTCAAAAAAAAAAACATTTAAAAAGTAGCTGCATGCAGCAATGTTGGGCCCAAACACAACAGGGCCACCACCATACGGTTGATTTATCAAAATGCATGGTGCGCATGTGCATTTAAGCAGTTAATATAAGAATATTTAAAAATGTGTTGTATGTGACACTACACATCATGAGCCACAATAACCACATCCATCAGCCTTCATAAGAAAACATACAACACCAATTTAATCTACAGTATATTAGACAATGCACTTAAGATATGAGACTCTTTCTTTTAATCCCTGACCATGGCAACACTGTGAAAGATATCAAAAATCTGTTCACAATTTACCATCTTCAATGTCTTGCAATAATGTTGACCAAGATTTGTGAGAATCATATGAATACTCTAGGAGGAGTATTTAAAAATTCAGAGCCTACACTTAAAAAAAAAAAAAAAAACTCCACATTTAAACCAAATAGCCGACTTCCTTTGGTTTGGAGCTAATGACTGTAAATTAGAAAGTTGTCCGGCTTGATGAGAACAATATATATACCGAGTTTGGTGACTGTAGGTCAAACTAACCCCATCACTTCAGTCAAAAGTGGCGTTACAGAGCCCCCCTTCCACACAAATACGACTGACAGTCAACAACTCTGATGTGTGTGCTGAATTTCATTACATTTTAAAAATGCTATGAGCCTCAACAACACACAAAAATAGTATTAAAGTTTGATGCATTACCCTGGCAACACTATTGAAAATATCAAGAATCCTTTTGCAGTTTTACATCAGCCGTGTTTTGACATCATTCTGACCAAGTTTGAAACAATTCAGGTAAATATAAGAAATTTCAAAGTGTGTTTCAAAGTGACACACTTCCTGCTGCCAGTTGGTGGCGCTGTGACTGTTACATTCATATAATCAGTCCATGTGACCAAACTAATAAGTAAATTATATATATATATATATATATTACATTTAATTTAAATCTTAATAATCTAAAACTTTTGAACGGTGAAGTAGGATTTAACATAAAAACATAAAATACGAAATAGTAAAAACAATAAGACAAATTAAAATGCCTGGGAATAAAGATGCCCTTTCAGCCAACTTTTCAAAATGATAATGGAAGGTGCAAGGCAAATGGATTCCATAAACGGAAGCAACTGAAAAGGCTCTATCATCATTAGTTTTTATATGAGAGTGGGGAACATACAGAAGAGCCATACCAGAAGATCTTAAAGGTCTACTGGATGAATAAAGAACAAGAAGAAGATAAGATGGAGCTTCGTCATTAAGAGCTTTAAAAACAAACAACAAAATTTTAAACTGAATCCTAAAATGGACCGGGAGCCAATGGAGCAATGCCAAAATTGGGCCGATATGGTCATATTTCTTTGCCCTGGTCAATAGCCTTGCAGCTGCATTCTGAACCATCTGGAGGCGAAAAAGGGATCAATGAGAAAGAATCTTGAAAAGACAAAAAATGTTTTAACTTTAAAAATAATCTGCAATTGATTCAAATTTTTAACTACATAATTGATTTGCTTGGTTAAGCAAAATTCTGAATCCAAGATGACATCAAAGTTTCTTGCTTGTGAAGAAATTACAGGAAAATGATTACTAAATTCCCTAATAAGATCACCTCTCAATTTTGGGCAACCAAAGATAATCATTTCAGTTTTCTCTTCATTAAGTTAGAGAAAGTTATTTGACAACCATTTCGTAATGTCCTCGAGACACTCCAGCATAGGTTGAATGGCTAGCTTTTAACAGCAAATAAATCTGGGTATCATCAGCATAAAAATGAAAAGAAACATTGTGCCTCCTAATAATATTTCCAAGCGGTAACATAAGTTCAAAAGAAGCGGGCCCAAAATGGAACCCTGAGGTACTCCACTAATAATAGGCACTGAAAATGAGAAAAACTTACACAATGCTACAGAAAAGGACCAATCTTTAATATAACTAAACCAAAAATGTATTTCCTCACCAGAGTCAAACTTTCAGTGCTTGGGCTCTAATAGATACATTTTATCTTTCATTTGACGTGATTGTTTTGTTGTTGTTGTTGTTGTTACATTACACATACTATGCATAGTGCAGAATGTTTTTATTTGCAAAATAAACACTGGAATAATTTTTTTACAGTTTGTTCTGTAAAAGTTTCCTTCATTTCCTGATACATTGGCT